AGTTTTATTCCTGCAGTGAATGATCTGACCTCTGATGTTTTCCGTACCAAATCCAAAAATGAAGAACTCCAACTTCAACTGGGAAAGCTTGAACGAAATCTAACTGCAACATTAGTGTTAGAAAAATGTCTGCAAGAGTAAGTAATTGAGTTGAAAATAGTAGAAATTTTGATGATAAAGACAGTAACAAGGCTGGGGAGATGGCTCAGTAGAATAAGCGCTTCCCTGGCAAGCCCAAGGACCTGAGTTCAATCCCCAGTTCTGAAAAAAAAAAAAAAAAAGACAGTAACAATATTTTTGCATTTAATTTTGGCAATAGATAACCATTTTTTAAAATATAGTAGAAGATGGAATCCATGAAAGTTTCACTGTGTAATCCAGACTGGCCTTGAACTCGCTGTGCAGCTCAAGCAGGGCTCATACTTAGTGCTCCTCCTGCCTCCACCTCCTGGTGCTGCGTACAGGTGTGTATACCACACCGACCCATGAAATAGTTTTAAAGAAAAAAATGACCTGACTGGAAGTGAGGAATGCTTGCGTAAACATTTTCATCCTTTATGCAACTTACTACATTTGTGTTGTGTTGGTTTTTTGTTTTGTTTTGTTTTGTTTTGTTTTGTTTTGTTTTGTTTTTTGTGGAACTAGGGATTGAACTAGGCCCTTGCGCTTGCCAGGGAAGCACTTATTCCACTGAGCCATCTCCCCAACCCCCTGTGTTGTGTTTTTGTCTTTGCAGTACGTGGATAGAACTTAGACACTTGCACATGCTAAGCTGAGCTAGATGCTGTCTGTCTGTTTGTTTGTTTATTTATTTATGGAACCGGGGATTGAACTCAGGCCCTTGCACTTGCCAGGCAAGCACTTATTCTATTGAACCATCTCCCCAGCCCCAAAAGTTCAGAAGGATTTTTTTTTGTTTTGGCTGCCTCAGAATGCCTTAAAGGCAGGTCTGGAAAGGCATGAGGATCTGGGGACTGAACCACAATATCCTGAACCTGACCACTTTTGCTTAAGCAGGCTTTTAAACAACTGAGTTAATGGGCAGGCCCTTTTTTTTTTTTTGAGAAAGAGTCTGACAGTCTTAGTTACCCAAGCTGGTATCAAACTTACTATCCTCCTACTTGAGTTTTCTGAGTAACTGGAGTTCTATAGGTCTGTGCCACTGAATGTGGCTCACTTTAAACTTTGTTGTATTTTTTTTCTAATAGCCGTGATAGCCTTCATTAATCCTGGGGACCTTTGGGTCCGTGTTACCTCAGAAATTTAGGCCTGTGGGTAGGGATTATATAAATTCACAAGTAACTTGGGTAAATTTATTCAACAGGTACTGAAAACATATGTATAAGGCACTGTGTCATGTCACATTTAGAAGACCTTTGGG